GCAAAGTTATCTGTAATTTAAGGCGCATTCTCAACGAAGAAACGTCATTTTCTTCAGTGATTTGTTTCCCGTCAATTGGGAGGTTGTTAGAAACAGCTGGAAAAATTACTTTTAATTTAAGGCGCATTCTCAATAATTTGTTTCACATTAATTGGAAGGTTATTAGCAACAATCTGAAATATTACTTATTATTTAAGACGCATTTTCAATGAAGAAACATCTTTTGTTTTTTAATGATTTGTTTCACATTAATTGCAAGGTTATCAGCAATTATCTGAATAATAATCTGAAAAATGTATTGTGTAATTATATTGTACTAGTTTATTGATTAATTTAGCATCTTTCATGAATTTTAGCAAATTATGAATTTCTCGTTTTTGAGGTCGTTTTTCATGATTTATATTTATCGAACACAACATTTAACACTAGAACTACCAACCGGGTCAAAATGACCTATTAGCGATTAGATCGGTACAAATAGAAGCATACATGCAGAAAACAAAGTCGAGAAGTTGCAAATTCACTGGTTTTGGAAAGTTGCTAATGGGTCACTTTGACCCGGCCGGTAGTTCTAGTGTTAATGGAAACTAATGATAACTGTAATTATGGGCTTAATGAATGATTCCTTACAAAACAGTATTAATTATTTCTTCCTCTTTTTTGCTTTTAAAGACTAACAACGTTGTTAAAGAACTTCATGAAAATATTCATAAAAATTTATAGAAAACTTCATAAAAATTTTCTTTGTTGTCAGACATTTGAAAGTATCGAAAAATTACAAAATATTGAAAAATTAAAAATAATTTACTCTTAGAAATGGAGAACAGTGTTCGGTATAAATGTTACTGTTTAAGTGGCAAGTATAATTTTAGCGAGCGAGATGTAGAAATTTACATTTTTGGGATTAATATTAGCGATCGGTTATGAAACAGAGGAAAGGAAACCACGAGGCGTTCCAGCGTGAAATTTCTTAAACTTTCCTTGGAAATAGACGATCCGTTTTCCGCGAAACAGGCAAGCGTGATTCACGCATCATAGAAATAGCGATAGATTTATCGTGGCGCTAACTACGACAATGCCACCCTCGATTTCCTGTATTCACTCGAATAAATTTGATCTGTGTATGCTTTAGATGAAGAGTGATTCAGTCTGTTAACGTGTATCATTTAATCACTTCAAACTTCATTGAATCATTTCATTTGTTTTCGTAGAATGATACATTAGTTGCTATTATTCATCACAACTTCGTCTATTTGTTTCATTATTTACATTCAGTTTTCATCATAAGTGATTCATTACTCTTTTTTTGCATAACATTGCGGACAAAATTAATTCTATTTAACATACAAACGTGTCATTTACCAATATTGAATTTCGATGAATTTCTGGACCGATATGATCACATTAGCAATGAGTTATTTTTTTAGATAAAAAATGTGTATCGTTTAATTTTCGTAATTAAAAATACAGTGAAAAGATTCTAAAAAATAAAAGTTACAGAGGATGACAAAGGGTAATGTAGTTTTTAGAATTATTTTACAATGAAAGGGAATATCTCACTAATTATTTTCCACTGAAAATGAAAATCTCGCGAATAATTTTGCACTGAAAGTGAAAATCTCCCGAATAATTTTGCTCTGAAAAGGAAAATTTCGCGAATAATTTTTTACCAAAGGTGAAACTCTCGCGAATCATTTTGCACCGAAAGTGAAAATTTCGCGAGTAATTTTGCACTGAAAAAGAAAATCTTTCGAATCATATTGCATCGAAAAGGAAAATGTTGCGAGTAATTTTCACTGAAAGTCAAAATCTTGCGAATAATTATGTACTGAAAGAGAAAATCTGGCGAATAATTTTGCACTGGAAGTAAAAATCTGGCGAATAATTTTGCACTGAAAGTGAAAATTTCGCGAGTAATTTTGCACTGAAAAGGAAATTCTCTCGAATAATTTTGCACTGAAAGTGAAAATTTCGCGAATAATTTTTTACTGAAAGTGAAAATTTCGCGAGTAATTTTGCACTGAAAGTGAAAATCTCCCGAATAATTTTGCACTGAAAAGGAAATTCTCTCGAATAATTTTGCACTGAAAGTGAAAATTTCGCGAATAATTTTTTACTGAAAGTGAAAATTTCGCGAGTAATTTTGCACTGAAAGTGAAAATCTCCCGAATAATTTTGCACTGAAAAGGAAATTCTCTCGAATAATTTTGCACTGAAAGTGAAAATTTCGCGAATAATTTTTTACTGAAAGTGAAAATTTCGCGAGTAATTTTGCACTGAAAGTGAAAATCTCCCGAATAATTTTGCACTGAAAAGGAAATTCTCTCGAATAATTTTGCACTGAAAGTGAAAATTTCGCGAATAATTTTTTACTGAAAGTGAAAATTTCGCGAGTAATTTTGCACTGAAAGTGAAAATCTCCCGAATAATTTTGCTCTGAAAAGGAAAATTTCGCAAATAATTTTTTACCAAAGGTGAAACTCTCGCGAATCATTTTGTTCCGAAGATGAAAATTTCGCGAATTACTTTGATCCAGAGATGAAAATTTTGCACTGCAGATAAAAATCTCTTCGCTTGATTTCGCATTTAATCAGAGGGACAATATCACAGAGCACGTGCATTTTATTGATAAAACTTGCGGTGGGGACGGTTTGGACAGTGACTCGATGAAAATGCCCCGTGTTTAAATAGCCCGATCGATCGATATAAAACGATCACGGGACATACGACATAGCGTTGCACTTACCTCGTCTACGTCACGTGTATCCCGAGCCCGACAATGACGTCACAGATCAGAGGACGCGAATAGAACCGAGATGAGAGAGCGTTTATTTTAGCTACGGATTAATTAAGATCCCTAAATTTTGCAAGATTTTCTGTCAGACCAGATAAACGAACATTTGCGATCTTCCATTAGGAATAAACTAGACGTTCATCAGACACGTCGATCATTACAATCCTTACATAATTTCCATCAAATCGATATTTAATAGGAGAAGTCTCTAATTGATCTTGATTTAATGAGAAAGAAGCTTTCCAAGTATATTACGAGATTGAAAAAATAAACGATTCACGAGGTCAACAAACATATCTCTTACTTTTTTTCTCTTAACGAGATTTCGAGAAGTACTTAAGATTTTGTCAATAAATATTTTCTTTCTTAGATCTCGTAATTATACCTTAATTTTTTTTTATCTATTCAGTTAGATTGCTCACGGTGATTTCGTCAAATATTATACAATTTTATAGTATACTAACTGGCTGTAATTTACGTTGAATCTACTTAAGGTTTTTTCAATAAATATTTTCTTTTTTTGGATCTCGTAATTATACCTTAAGTTTTCTTTTATCCATTCAATTAGATTACTCACGGTGATTCTAAAAAATGGTACACCATTTCACAGTATGCTAACTAACTGTAATTTACGTTGAACCTACTTAAGGTTTTTTCAATAAATATTTTCTTTTTTAGGTCTCGTAATTATACCTTAAGTTTCTTTCTAATTGTTTAATTAGATTATTCACAGTGATTGCGTCAAATGTTGCACTATTTCACAGTATAATAACTAACTACAGTGGATTCCGGTTAATTGGGACACATTGGGACCGGACTAATTTGTCCCAAAAAAGCGAATTTCAACAGGCAAAATCTGAAAAACGTAAAAAATGAAGCCAAAAACGATTTATTGAAAAACGTATGTAATATTCGGTATTGAATACAAAGCTAACAATAAGTAATAAAATAACATTAATACGTAATCAAAAATAAGTAAATAAACACGTATTTATATTCCGTTCTTCAGTATCTGTCCCAAATAAACGGCGGTCCCAATTAACCGGAATCCACTGTATAATGTTAAGCGCGAGGTTCAGGTGCAGGGAAAAGTAACAAGACGCAGATGATAGCACAAACACAAATATTTATTGCAACAAAGTTTCCATTGCACGAAATATAAAACGTGCAACGCACGACTCTCTCCAAGAACAATTGAATAGTAAACCGAGGCGTTCCACGAGACGCCTGTAGGCCGTAGACCATCTGGGCGCTCGCGCGTCGGTAACCTAGAGAACTTCCTCTAGTCTAACATACGTTGAACCTACTTAAGATTTCTTTCAACAAATATTTCTTTTTTAGATCTCACAATTATACTTCAAGCTTCTTTTCACCTGTTTAACTAGATTATTCTCGACGATCGTGTGAAACGTCGCACCGTTTCACAGTACACGAACAACCAATAATTCCAACACTATCACGTCGAACTCAAAATCCAATTTAACAAATGAAACAGCCTTCTGATCACGAGTGATCGCTCATTGTGGAATTGAGCGAAACAGGGCTCATAGAGAGAAACAGGGAGTAAAACAGTAGAACCGCGTTGTTATTGATATCAGAGAGTGCGTGAGAATATTTGCGAGATATAATAAGAGACCGTTGATCAGCTTATCATTATTCCTTTTTACGTGTGTTTATAGTTATTATCAAATTATTGTTATAAAATATATTGCTATTGAACTTATTTATGTGGTTATACAACCACACTCATAACCCCCCATATCAAATTATTGTTATAAAATATATTGCTATTGAACTTATTATCACGTGTTATACAACCACACTCATAACCCCCCCTTTTTCCACTCACTCTCGCATCTTGCAGCCCGTGTCGCGACACGTGTCCCCGATTCATTACGCTATGCAAAATAATCCACGAAAAACGTAAGCACAAACCTGCTACATTGGATACGTTCGAAATATTCCCCAAAATTTTACAGGAAAAATCGGAAAAGGTCGGGATAAACGTTTCGTTGTTCGGTGATATTCGTGAGAAAAATTCCGAGATATCGTTGTGTGTGTACTTTTCCGTGAGAAAAGTACGGATTGATCGTTTGAAGGGTACGAAAAGCATTCTTCTACACTTTGTGATCTCGTGGAAATTCTTGGAATGGTTTCGCGTCGGTGACGTAACGACGATTTCAAAGGGGGAATAAAATTGTTGCAGGGTGGCTCGTGCGAGTCTTTATCGTCGAAAGGCGGAGCTCTAACCGGAAGCGACTCCGGGGTGCTCGAGTTGAGCGACAGCGGCGGAGGAGGCCCTCCAGGGGAATGGGACGCAGTTCCAGGCGTAGTGAGACAGTGCATCAGGCATCTGGAGAACACAGGCCTCCGGACGCTCGGCATCTTCCGAGTGTCGCCTTCGAAGAAGAGGGTAAGACAGGTGAGTGTTGAGGGATATTATACGTAATATAAATGGAGTTCGTCTCTTGTAACAATTAGCCAGATATTTTAGTCATAAAGAATCACAATTTTAATCAGTGAAATTGTGTGAAGATATTTGGACTCGCTGCACTTATGTGCAATATAATTGGAATTTTTAGTAAAATAAGAGTTTGTCTCTTGTATCAATTATCTAAAAATTTTAATGATAAACAGTCACAATTATAGTCACTGAAATTGTGCAAAGATGTTTGGACTCACTGCACTCAAGTGTAATATAATTGGAATTTTTAGTTAAATGAAAGTTCGTCTCTTGTACTGGGCTTAAAATGTATATTTCAATTATTCAAATATTTTAATAATAAACACTCACAATGTTAATTACTGAAATTGTGTGAAGATATTTGGACCCATTACACTCATGTGTAATATAATTGAAAGTTTTATATTTAAAACATTTATATTTCAATTCTCCAAGTATTTTAATAGTAAACAATCACAATTTTAATCACTGAAATTGTGCGAAGATGTTTGGACTCACTCCACTCAAGTGTAATATAATTGGAATTTTTAGTAAAATAAAAGTTCGTCTCTTGTACTGGGCTTAAAATGTATATTTCAATTATTCAAATATTTTAATAAACACTCACAATGTTAATTACTGAAATTGTGTGAAGATATTTGGACTCACTGTACTCAAGTGTAATATAATTGGAATTTTTAGTAAAATAAAAGTTCGTCTCTTGTACTGGACTTAAAACGTATGTTTCAATTATCTAAGTATTTTAATAACGAACAATCACAATTTTAATCAGTGAAATTGTGTAAAGATACTTGGACTCACTGTACTCAAGTGTCTCTGCAAAATCAATTTTTTTATTTATACCAGTTGAGCTTAAGTACATTATGCGATGAAATCAGTGGGCAAAATTGCATTTGAAAGCTTCAGATACTTGAAGCATATCTCATATTTTCCCGATAATGAGAAAGTGTCCAAATATTAATGGACGGTGGTAGTATTTATACATATTTGCATAATTGGTCAGTTCAAATTTGATAAGAGGGTTGTCAAATATATTTCTACACGTAGTTTATGAATTTACAATTTTTACCAAGTAACAAAGTGACATTTTTATTTTTGTACTAGATTGCCAATTTAACTCGATCTTACATTAATTAAATTCTCAACTAATTTCTAATTAAAATTTCTCACATAAGATACCAACTTTTTTCAATTTTTATTAATGCTTATCCGTATTATAAATTTGCGACAAAAATATTTGGATTATTACAATATTTAAACGAAAGAAAATTATTAATTTATGTTTGAATTAATGTGTTTCCAGTTAAGAGAAGATTTCGATTGTGGTCGTGAGACGAAAATCGGACCCGATCAATGTCCCCACGATGTGGCAGCCCTTCTGAAGGAATTTTTGAGGGATCTACCCGATCCTCTACTGTGCAGGGATCTCTACCAAGCCTTCGTCCATACACAAAGTAAGACTACGTTAAAAATCACGATTAAAAAAATTAAGGAGTTTATAGCAGTTCATTTTTAAAGCTTGATTAGCGTTCGTAATTAAAGAGTGATCGTATAAAGGATTCACCACTGCTATTTCACAATAGTTATTCTCATTACACGAAACGAGCTGAATAGATCACGTTTAATCTGATAATCTCGTGTTAATTAGATCATTGGGTTTAATTTCCTAGCTAATTTAAAGCGTGATATATTAACGAAGATTACATCCTTCCTAATTCAAAAGCGACGAAACCATTGTTGCTAAAATGGTGTGAAAAATTTCGCTGAAAATACATGGACTAAGGTAAAGGTATCAGTAGTTGACCAATTTTTAGAGAAACGTAAAAAATAAGGTTCTTATAAGTGATACTCTTTTGAAAAAAATGCACCTGACATGCCAAGACCACCTATCGGTTAAAGTTCAAAAGAATTACATATGCCTTTTTTAATTACATATACATAGAATTACAATATGCCTCTATATTGCTATTTCCTTAACGTTTCTGTTAAGAACAGCTGTACGGTTCAGGTAAACAAATGCATACGTTGTGAACTCTTCGTGACTGAATTATTTACTTTTTAAATTCTCACAGCGTTTTATAAGTGATAAATGCAACATTTTTGTTATTCTTACCACTTGTGTTGGTAATTATTGAAAATAAACGATACTAAAATGATTGCCAACATTATTGCTTCAACCCTCCTTCTAGTATAAGTGGTCAACTACTAACGAACAGAGGGTCAATTACTAGTTTTTTCATTTTTAAGAGTGGTCAACTTCTGAAGCAATTACTGAATTTTTAAATATGATTTTAAAATTTTTATGACATAACTTTTTTTTTAAATTGGTATTGTTACATAATCTAGAAGGCTTAAAGAGTATCTTCAGGCATCGACTCTCGCTATTTAATGACAGAGCAAGTGGTTACTATTGGAGGATTTCTCTTAACTGGTCAACTACTGGTACCTTTACCTTATTAGTAAAAATAATTTAATCACGATTTTATACGATTTTCTCCACGATACCCTTGAATTATAACATTTTTCGGTTTAATCAAATTTTCTCCATCCTCGAATTTATCGAGTCAAATTTTGTCCACCCTCGAATTCCATATAGTTTTTCGTTTAATCAAATTTTCTCCACTCACAAATTATATTTTCTCGTCGAGTCAATTTTTTTCTGCCCTGGATTTATATTTTTTTATCGAGTCAAATTTTCTCCACTCTCAAATTATATTTTTTCGTCGAATCAAATTTTTCTGCCCTGGATTTATATTTTTTTATCGAGTCAAATTTTCTCCACCCTCGAATTCTATTTCTTCGTCAAGCCAAAGCATAATCGCAACATCAAGCTCGGTATGTTCACCAATGTTAATGCGAGCGTTGAGCTTCGTTTCAACATTCTCATAAAGCTCGTTGTAATTCATTTGCGCCACGGAACGTGTTAAACTCTCGCGTGAATTATTAAGAGTCGTTCTCGTTCAGTTTGTCCTCTCCTCGTTCGTCGATACTTTTTCCGTTCCGACGTGCAACACGCACGTGTGCGTGTGCGTATTTGTGTTGAACTGAAAGAGAGAGAGAGAGCCCCCGTTTCTCCGCAGAGATCCGGAACAGGCGACTTCAGCAAGAGGCTCTTCAGCATCTCATTCAGCTGCTGCCCACGCCGAACCGTGAGACGCTCTGGGCACTTTTGAGCTTTCTCAGCGTGGTGGCAGCGAACAGTGAAGATCAAAAGACGGAGACAGGCGAGTGGGTACCGGGGAACAAAATGGACACGACCAACTTGGCCACGGTGAGTGCACTGTCCTCGTCTCGTGTCGGCGAATTAATCGGAAAAGTTTCCAACTTTGTCGTCACTCGCTCCGAGATTTTAATTAAGCTGCGATCATGGGACGGAGATAGATTGTCCGTGGGTGTGGATCATCGAGCAGAATGTCTCGTCCCAATTTGAATAAAATGTTACGTTAGATGGGGAGATTGCTGATAACGCGAATTGGCGTTTTCGTGAATCGAAGCTTGTCGATCTTTTCCTTGTTTTGTAGATTTTCCATTCAATTTTACTGAATTACTTTTTAGTCAATTTTTCTTTTTTTGAATTTCACTTAGCTTATGAATCTTTTTACTATATCACATTTAAGTGGTAAACTGAAGGATTTAATGCAAATCTTTACGTTACAGTCGTGCAATATTAAACATGAAATTTCTGATCATTCGAAAATCGATTGCTCGAGTGATTCATTTCGATTTTGATTTTTATATTAACTTCAAGTTCGTGCAATTTTTATTACGTTACTGCGGAAGAATCAAAGGGTTCGTTTTGGACACCGATCAAGACTAATTCTATATTTCAATCCGACATTTCATATTGCAAGACCTAACATAAAAGTTGAACGAATTTTTCTAATATTGACTCTGTTCCAAAGATAAATTTCTTTTTTTATTTTTCTTATTCCCTTGCGAATATACTTAACATTCTTTGTTAATTAGTATTAATTTCTGATATCTATTTCGAAGTCATTTCACCCTTTAACTTAGGATTTATTATTTAAATACCGCATGAAGTAGAGCTGTTACTTGAGAGATATCCGGGTACCCGGGTTACTCGTGAAATACTCGGGTAATCAGAAATTATCCGAGTATCTCATGAGATGAGATAGCTGCGAGTAGATATCTATTATTCCTCGACTGTTTCGGCAGAGGTTTCAAAACAATATTGAGTAGGGTACAGGTGCACTTTGACACGTCGGCATCGTTGCATCGCTGTCGCGACCGATCCGCATTTGTTTGCCCGGGGAACCACCAGCGGTAGTGGCCATCGAGATTTCCACTGTTTTATGTACATATTCGAGTACTCGTCAGATGCCCGGGTCGATCGGGTTATTTTCATCTATCTCAGATACCCGGTTAAAAGTAGTAGCCCTAGTATGAAGTAAAACAAGCTAATCTATTGGATGATTGCAAAAGTTCGTGCCCGATTTGAAAATAAAACACAATCGGTGTGTGCAAAAACAGATTTCATTTGAAACTGAAATAGAATGAAACGAGTAATTATTTGGAAATAAAACAAGCGGTGTATCTTCCGATAGGAATATGACATTGCGCTAAAGGAAACATCTGTGCCGAAGTCGATAAGGTTCAGCCACCTCTGAAAATCGGGTACGAACTTTTGCAATCGTCCAATATTACACATAACAATTATACTGTTAAGGCGTATCCTGTAGCCGGATTTATGGCAGCGAGTCAAGTAGTCGCCGTCGCAGGCAAATATCGTTTCCTCAGAACACCACAAGTGTTTATTGCGTTGCCTGCGACACTTAGTCCCTAGGACCAGACCCTGCTATTCCACCCTAAGATAACGCGCTAAGGGCGAAATGGAGGGAGGTTGCGATGCACCGGAGTAAACTGATTGGTGATTTAGAAAAGGAAAAATCACCAATCAGGGTGTTTTTAGGAAAATAGGAGTCTTCTTCGAGGGAAACCGCAGAGACTCCGGCAGAAACATTTAGCAACTCGCGGGAGAAACACTTGGCCACTCGCAAGAGAAACACCTCTCACTTCGCAGTAGAATTTATATCTTGAATTAGTTGTAGAAAATAGAACATAAAATAAAAACTTAGTGTTTCAATCAAGAAACTGGTCCTTCGTAGCCTTCGACCATTAGTCGGCACACACGTGCAAAAACCGGCAACGCTTGAACCGGTAATGCAAATTGTCAATGGAAACACTGTCGAACTCTCAAAGTGCATCGAGACATCGAGCTTCGCACACACGTGCAAAAACCGGCAACGCTTGAACGATCGAAAGATCAACCGCAAGCCCTAACATATACAATAATTTACAATTTGATAATTCTCAGACGCTCAAAATTAGAACTAAATTTACAATTGAACTTACTCTTTGTTACTGATACAATATAACATATTTACACCGTAATGCAAATTGTCAATGGAAACACTGTCGAACTCTCAAAGTGCATCGAGACATCGAGCTTTCTTCAACAATGTGAAAAAAATTCATTCATCGAAATTGATTATTGTTAAATTTCGTTCTCCAAGGTATTCGCGCCGAACATCCTCCATTGCGTGAAGCCCGGACAGAGGTCAGAGGTGTCTGCAGAAAGGGCGGAAGAAAGGATAGACGTAATAAACGTGGTGAGAGCTCTTCTAGAGCACGCTGCAACGTTATTTACGGTGCCGGCCGCACTTCTAGACGAGGTGTACCTACACATGATGGACACACATCCTGCTGATTTAGATCTCGCCCTTTCTCGACGCTCTGAAGAGTGAGTAGTTTAAACGGACATTCTTCACCACGGAGTCTTTTCCCTCGCGTGTCTACCGAGAACTCGTTTCTCGAGCAATTTTACCGCAAACTTTTTTTTACATTATTCTAATTAGAAATTTTGATTAAATGTGAAATTGTTAGTTAACCCTATGTCGGTCTGGTGAATTTTCTAGATTTTTTTGAGAATCTGCAATTCTTACTTTCCGTTTGCATCGTTCGAAGGCCTCCAACTACTGAAATTTCATCGACTGGTCTGAGTATAAGAGAAATTTAAAATTGATAAGTGAGAAAAATTGAGTTTGTTTAAAAATAACTGTTTCCTTTGCTGTCACAAATTTCAACGAAACAAATATGAAATAATCAGTCTACTTTAACTCTAATTCAGTGAATTTTTGACATTTTCAGAATTTAGAATTCTTATTCTCTGTTTGCCTCGTTTCAAAGCCTCAAATTATTGAAATTTTATCGATGGATCTGAGGATAAGATGAGTTTAATATTAATAAAGTGAGAAATATCGAGTTTGCTTGAAAGTAATTCTTTGCTTCGATTTCACAAATTTCAATTAAACAAATAGAAAATTACCAATATATCTCGACACTAATCTAGCGGATTTTTCACATTCTGAGAATCTGTTTCCACTGTTTCAAAGCCTCAAACTATTCACATCTTATTAATCTGAGAGCAAAAGAAACTTGAAGACAATAAAACGAGAGAAACGAAACCTCTTCAAAAATACCAATTCAAATCTTGCCACAGAATTATCAACCTCCACCACACAAACCCAGGGTAAACAAAACCAATTCTCAATAATTCCAATTACTTCTCCACTCGTGTAAATTAACGAAAAACAAGAAAAAAAGTTCCAGTACCAAAGACTTGGTGACGAGATAACTAATCGTGAGCATTCTCTTTTCGTTCTTTTCTCTCCTCTCCGCCCGAAAGATGCTCGATCTTCCGTTCTCCGTACGAACGAAGATTTTTAATCCGGCCCAGACTCCGTGTCCGCGTGGCAAAAAGCCAGGAAAGTTCTCGCGTATGTCAGTCGGCGAGTCGCGAGGAAAAAAGCTGACAGCAAGTTTCGTGCGGTTTTTCGCAGGCAGTGCGGAGACGAGGCGGATCCATGCAGCGAAGCCGAAACCTTTTCGGTCGAGGAGACGCTGACGACGTCGACGACGACCACCACAGCCACCACCACGTCCACCAGAAAGGTAACCGATCCAGATCGAACGAGATAATATCCCCCGACCGTTTCTCCGCGCCACTCTCACGTATTCCGAGTGGAACTTTTTCGAGATCGTGGAAAGATTATCGCTCGACATCAAAGAGCTTCGAACTTTTCTCGCGCACACCTTCGACGTTTCTTGTGGACGCTTCTTTCTTTCAATTTTTTTTTTGTTTTAGTTTGTTCGTTGAATGGTGAATGGCTTCGTCGTTAACTCTTCTTTTACTTGGGATTTTGTTTTTCTTTTTGCCGGATACGCGGCAGAGTTGGGCAAAACGTAATCCGATTAATGACTGAACATTACGATCAATGTAAAATCCAATTATTAATGATTACTAAGTAATCATTGATTAATGAATAAGAAAGGAATTAGAAGTTGTAATTAACGTTCGTGATTGCTTTATTAATTATTAGTCATGAAATGATTACATTTTTGATTATGATCTAATATGTACTTTCGCTGTAACAACACTGTGAACATTTTTTAGAAATGTATTCATTTTTTACATAGTTTTACATAGAAGATCCTTAGAACAAGTTACTTGTTTATTTTTAGTGTAATTTGCTTTTAATACAACTCGCATTTCAAACATCCCGTATAAAATATAATTAATCGTTGAATGATTTAAAACTTACCGATTAATGATTACAAATTACAGAAGGTAATCACGATTACTGATTTATCTCAACGATAATTCACTGATTACAGTTACTATGATTACATTAAATAATCGATTACAAAGGTGTTCCGTACCGAACATCCCTCGGTAATTTCACCACCAGAACTCAGTTTATTAACCATTGTCCCGATTTTCCAATTACTGAACTAGTGTCTTCCTTCTCTCATGTCCTATCTCCTTTTTTTCGGAATTCCCCAAAACCCCGACACCTCATCCTTCTACCACCACCTTCTACCACCACTTCCCACCACCACACCCTACGACCAATACTTAATGTTCTTATTTCTCCCATTTTTCACTTCCAAAATTAAACTCCGCCCTCAGTAGCTGAGATGCGTGACTTCCTCTGAATTTCGAATCAGTATCATTCTGAACGTTAAACAACCAAGTATTGAGTCAGTCCGAGCGCTGAACGCATAATCAAGTCGTTTATATTATAACGTTGGAGAAAGGGTATTCCGGGATCGCTTCAGACCTCGTTAGAAAACAGTCCGATTTTTCTCTCGTGATCCAAGTTTGAAACATAACTCAAACCGACGCGAGTACAGGACACAAAGGAATTAATTACTGCCCAACTCTGATACGCGGGCATCTGAGTGTCAGCTGTTTACTGTTTTTAGTAGTGGGTTGGGTGAGAATAGCTTGTTAATTGCATTTGCTAATCTTCTGTTTTGTAAATTGAAATGAAAGTTGGAGTTAAAATTCATTTTTTTAATATAAATGTCGCATCTCGAGCAGAATTTGGGCTAAGAATCTGATTCGTTATGGGGCAAAGGGGTAAAATATGGAAAATATTCTATTTGGGAAATTTCTACCGTAGAGATGTCGACTTTGAAAGCAATTCTTGAAATTTAATTTTCTTTCATTTTTGAATCGAGCTTTAATCAAGGTTACTTTGAGTGTAAGTTCAATATTTTTATAAGTAATTTCTTTTTTCTCTAATACAGTTGCAAGCTTCAACACTGTCGGCCAAATGTATGAGACTACTTTGCATTGTAATCAGTTTGCATTCTACAGCTAAATTTCAAGTTGCATTTTCATGTACATCTTCTTTCTCTTTTAACACTCAACTTACTCCTCTTTCAAACTCGCCGCCAAATTCTTGATCTTTCACCGCTTTCCTTAACACTTCTCTCCCCTCTCTAGTCTCATACCAGAAATCCACGATTTTCACATTTTCGTGCATTTCAAACGAGTATAATCCTCAAAGAACTCTACGACAGAAAACCACTCCCGGACTTAGAGGGTTAATAAAAATTCGCTGAAATGTACGGAACTCCGAAGGGTTAACTCTAGCT